AGAGAAGAAATGGCTAGCTGTCTTATTCTTTTTTTTTTTTAGAATGCTTCTTCCCTTTTTGATATTTTCATTGATCGAGGCTTCCTGGCTTCTGCGACTCTCTGATACCTTTAAAATTAAAGACTTTTGTCATCTACCCTGATTTTTCTAGTTTTTGCAGTGGGGACAGTAATCTACTACTTCCTATTTGGGAGATCCTACACACATATCTTTTATCAACATGTTTTGATATAAATTCCTAAGTGACTCTTTGTTTGGAGAAAATCATTTTATTTTGCTTTAGCTTTCCTAGTGTGATGTGACCAAAAAAAAAAAAAAATCTGTATTCTTTCATTCCATCAAATACACTGAATTTATATAAATTAAGTAAAATTAAATGCTTCCTTTGTCTAAAATTGAGACATCAGTTACACTATTAACTTTGATCTAATAGGTACGTGTTTGTTTTTCCTGGCTGAACGTAACACCTAGAGAGAAGTTTTCAGTGAGACAAAAAGGCTTCAAACAAAAGTTCCTTTGATTCATGAGGTCTTTAAAAATTTATGCTCTTTTTACTCTAAGTCTTTTGGGCCTTGTTCAAGATTATCATCTCTAATGATGGTTGTGTATATTAATGCCAACCTGTTTTCTATTTATCCTTACATCTTCAGGGACATTTCGTCCTTTTGGAAACATCTGTGACACCAGATTTTGAATTTGGTTGTTTGATATTAGTATTAAAAGAGTTAGACAAAAAGGAGATTTCATACTATATTTTTCTTAGGACCATTCTTGGCTCCATTCTTTCCTTTCTATAACCCCCACTGGGGTGAGATTATCATTTATTGAACATTTAATATGGCCTTCTGTGGTGAGTGTAGAGGGGATGGCACTTCTCTTTCTCATTTCTCACAACAACTTTCTAAGTAGGAATTATCTTCTTCATTTTGTAGAAGTGTAAGCTGAGCCTCTGAGTCTATAAGCAGATTGCCTAGTGATACCTGGAGAGAAGGCTCTTGTTGCCGCAAAAATTAAAGTGTACTTCACTTCTAGGTTTTTTTTTTTTTTTTGATGAATAATTGCGTAAAATATCTCAAGGCAATGACAACTGTATTTGCTGTATTTCCACCTTTCCTCATGCTGTTCTTAGCTGAGTATTTTCTCTACAAGTACAGGGACTTTTCAGAACTCTGAAATGATTGCTTTAATTGATACTAAAAATGGACACTTTTAAATTCAAACAGCATTTTAAACATTCTTGACTTATTGTCACCCCCCGTTTATGCCCTTAGCACTCCTGTCTAGACCCATTCCTTCTACAAAACTTACCTGTCCTGATGGCTCCCATCTCTTTTGTGTGGGTGACTCTCTAAGAAAAACCTCCTTACCTCTACTTTAGTCTCATGCGACATCATCTCAACATGCACCCCATACAGACAACATTGGGATGATCCTTTGAAACCCATTCCACTTCTATCAATGGAATAATCATCCCTGGTTTCTGGACTAGAAAACAGTATCACCTTTCTCTACTTTATGTTGAGCATGTACGTTTTTCAAAGTCTTGCTTCTTCCTTCCAGATGTTTTCTAGACCCATCCTCTCTGGTCCATTTCTATTGCCACCAGGCACAACTTAACCCTTGCAACTAAGACACCAGCTATAGCTTTCAATGTACTTCCTGACTCTAGACTCGCTCCATCTGAAGTCACTTCACTGCGTCATGCTTTCCTTACCCTGATTTCTGCCCCAGCATTAGAATGCCTCCCTGCCTCCCACATCATCATTGTGCATTTTCTACACTGGGGGTTATCTTTCTAAAGCACAAAGATTATTCGTAATCAAATCAAACCCTTTGGCATAGCATATGGAGCATTTCATGATCTAGTTTGGGATCTATTCCACAGATCTGTTGAATGCCTGCTCTAAATCAGGCACTGTAAGAGCAGCCAGGCATTCAACACAAGGCCTAGTACCAACCTTAGAGCAGTGGGTGCTTGGCCAACTCTCTGCTCTTAGCTTCGTACATGTGGAGCCTACCATGCAAGCCTTCTCAGTGTGCTACCTATCCATATTCTTCCAGGCTTCTCTTTTAGAATGCCTTGTCTTTTCTCATTAACAAAACTAAAAGGCAACCTACTGACTGAGAGAAGATATTGGCAAATGACGTATCCAATAAAGGGTTAGTATCCAAAATATATAAAGAACCAATACAACTCCACATCCAAAAAACAAATAATCCGATTAAAAATGGGTAGAAGATGTGAATAGGCATTTTTTTCCCAAAGAAGGCATATTGATGGCCAACAGACATATGAAAAGATTCTCAACATCACAAATCATCAGGGAACTACAAATCAAAATCACAATGAGATGCCGCCTCACACCTGTCAGAATGGCTAAAATCAAAGACACAAGAAACAACAGGTGTTGGTGAGGATGTGGAGAGAAAGGAACCCTCATGCACTGTTGGTGGTACCCCTCAAAATACAAAAACACTAATTCAAAGGGCTACATGCACCCCTATGTTTATAGCAGCATTATTTACAATAGCCAAGATATGGAAGCAGCCCAAGGGTTCACTGACTGGATAAAGAAGATGTGGTCTGTATACACAATGGAACACTAGTGAGCCAACAGAAAGAATGAAATCTTGCCATTTGCAATGACATGTATGGATCTAGAGACTATAACACTAAGCAAGATCAGTCAGAGAAAGACAAATACCATATGATCTCACTCCTATGTGGAATTTAAGAAACAAAGCAAATGAGCAAAAGGGAAAAAAAGAGAGAGACAAACCAAGAAACAGACCCTTAACTATGGAAAACAAACTGATGGTTACCAGAGGGGAGGTGGGGGGCTGGGTGAAAAGGGTGCTGGGGATTAAGGAGACTACTTGCTGTGATGAACACTGGGTGATGTATGGAAGTGTGGAATCACTATATTGTACACATGGAACTAATATTATTCTGTAGGTTAGCTCTATTGGCATTAAAATAAAAAAGAAATGGGGATGGAATTACAAAAGTGTATTACCTTTTCTCAACTTATCCTTATCCCCGTAACCAATAAGCTCCCTGTGGCCACCCCCAAGGGAGGACCAGGGGCTCTGGGCTTAGGTCCATCAGAATAGTGATGACATTGCTCTGTAGTTTTGCGCTTACTGGCCTAACTCCCCAAATCACTCATTAGCACATGGAGCTCAGGAACCATGAATTATTCAACTCCGAGACTCTGGGACCAAGCACAGTACGTGTGGATGAATGTCTGTGGGCTATTTCATCATGCAATTTCTTCCTTGAAAACTAAGGCAATCTTTTGGCTGCCGGCTCCAGCAAAAGACTTGTCTGGATGTTGCGATGCTTTGAAGATGACTTTTCAATGTACATCCAAATAGATTTCCATTTGTCTACACAGAGTGGATGCAGCTCTTCTCTCTCCCTTTCTTACCACCCACACGACACTCCCTTCCAGTTTTGATTCCTCTGCTCTGTGTTTTCAGGCCCCTCTGCCTCCTCCCCTGACACTTACCCAAATCCTACCTGCCCTTCGAGGCCAAACTCAAAGGTTGACTTCGTTGTGAAGCCTTCTCTGCCTATTGCCTGCCATCTTGATTGTGCGTTTCTCAGACACTGGTCTAATATGTGGTTTGCATGTGAGTCCCCAGCATATGGAGACGGGGTCTGAGAAGTCTTAGTTTACCTGTTCTTGTGTATCACAAGGGCACATACCAAAGGCCCTGTGAATATTCACTTTCATATATGCGACTCAAACTGAATCTTTAGCCACAAGCAACTGGCTTTTCGGAGTAAGAGAGAGAGCAAAACTTCAGGTGTGATTGACACAATGGACATCTCTGTTTAACATACACCGAGACCAACCCTGACTCCCCATCTCAGCCAATGGCAGATCCTATTAGCTTTGTGTCTGAAATAGACTACCTCCAGGATCTGACTTCTCATCCTTTCCCCTATTATCAGCCCAGCTTACCCTCATACCTAGGTTGTCACCAGTCTCCCATACTTGTGCTCTTGTCCCCTATGTCTGATCTCAACCAGGCAGCGTGATGATGTCATACTGCACCCTACTGAGCCCTCGGCCCTGGTGGTCCTGTCTTACCCACAGTAAGAGCAGGGGTGGTGTAGGGCCCATGTGACTCCACACCATCTGTATCCGTACCCCCTGCCTATCTCACCCACTCTCTCTGGTCCAGCCCTCATGGCCTCCTTGGACTTCCCTTAGATAACTTCAGGTCTCCAATCTCCACCACCTTCATGTTTTTATGCAAATGTTGCTGCCGTAGCGAGGCTCCCCAGGGCTGCCTCATTACAACTGCAGCTCCCTGCTGTCCGCTATCTTTTATCCATTTCCTGGTTTCATACATACATTGTATGCTTCTCTTTTTCCCAAAAAGCATATTATGTATTTTACTCAATTTGCTTCCTTTCTCCATGAGAGTGTCAGCTGCATAAGGATAGCCATACTTGTTGGTTCACTGCTGTACTCCAGCCTCTAGAATGGTCTGTGGATGTCGCATTAGTAGCTTTTGAATGAAAAGCCATTGTTCTGTGATTAGGAAGCTCCTAGCTGAGTGCACCTGATGTCTTTCCACAGTCGCCTGGGGTAACAGGATAAAAGCTGTGGGACAATTTAGCCGTCAAGTTCGGTGACGTCCTCTGGGACTTTCTTTCAACTTGCCCTAAGTGAAAGAACTGTCCCACAGATGCGGGCATGATGCCAAGATGAAAGGCATCAGTGCGCCTCCCTAGCTGCGGCACCTGCCTAAGACGAAGGACCGTGAGCTCCCCACTCTGACCTCTAATTGGACAAAGACCGGAGAAATCCAGGCTTTGGAGGTATTACTGACTTAGTGTATGTTTAAATGTTTGCCTTCCCTGCCTCTACACATTTCTGTTCTTCCCAAGAACACCTCCGGGTGTTACCAGAAGAAACATAAAATGTAAAAATGCATTTATAGCAGAAAAGTATACGTTCGGTAGCATTTTAGAAAGCACTCACCACTGTCGACGGCTAGGAAGAGGGCAGTGTACACGCTGTTGTGGACAAAGGGCGACTCGCGGTCCAGCACGGCTGTGGTGTCAACGGTCCCATTGATGGGATTAATATTCAGCCAGCCCGCTGGGTCCTTGTAAATGGAATACCTGAAAAAAAATATAATTCCCAAACAACATTCAGATGACACTCTGAACAGATTCAAGAAATATTCACTGAGCCAAGTGAATGAGGAACAAGCTCTCGTGTAGGTGCCAGATAATTCTTTTTTTGATTTATTTGAGAGACAGAGAATGAGAGAGTAGGTAAGCACAGAAGATGGAGGAAGCAGGCTCCCTGCTGAGCAGAGCCTGATGCGGGGCTCTGTCCCAGGACCCTGAGATCATGACCTGAGCTGAAAGCAGATGCTTAACCGACTGAGCCACCCAGGTGCCCCAGTGCCACATAATTCTTTACAAAAATCCAAAACATCATTGCAGTTATAGTTGTTCATTCAGAAAGTGAGGCTGACCTCCAACTCTGTGCTCAATATTTTGGGCATGTGCCTCCTTCGTGTCTCATGACAAGCCTGTGAGGAGAGAGCTTGTATCGGCCCAGTTCTCCAAGAGGCCGAGTTAAAGCCATCCAAGTGCAGCTCTATTTCTTCAATACCCTGGCTGTGCCCCATGTACAGATCCCGGGGAGAGGTGCTGTGAACGCACGGGCAGGATGCAAGGATGCTTAGAGGAACTGGCCATTCCCTCTGATGGAGAGTCACCCTGGGGACCTCACAGAAGATGCAGTGTCTGAACCGAGACCAGAGGAAAATGAGAATGAGAAGACAAGTCAGGAAGAGAGAGCAATACAAGTTAACACATGGAATAGAGAGATTCACTAGAACGTAAGTCCCACAAAAGCCAGGGTATCTGTTTGCGGTCATGACCCCAGCACCTAAAACATTGCTTAGCACACACACAACACTCAACAGATAGCTGCTGAATGAATATTGTTGTGGGTGGTTGTGCTTGAGGCACAGCTTCTCTGGGGTACACTGACGGTATAGGAGTTTAGAGAGACAGATTTTAAAGAACCTCAACCACTGTTGTAAGGGGTTTGGGTTCTGGATAATGGGAAACTGTCAAAGAACTTTAAAACATTACTATTTTTGGAGGTTGTCGTAAAAGTAATCCATGCTCCTTCTAAGAAGTTCAAACAAAAGGTGCACTGGGTAAGAAATGAAAATCCCATTTTCATTTGATCAGGAGACTAACGGAACAGGACTCAGATTTCTTTGAACTGAGTGGCTGGGATAATGTGGGGCTGTCCCAGTGACATATGGCAGGTGCTCTAATCACTTCTGTACTTGAGCCAGAGTGATGCTGGCCAGTGTTCTCCTGCCATTCTCCACCAGTCTTTGAAATATATGCCCTTGGGGTGCCTGGGTGGCTCAGTTGTTAAGCATCTGCCTTCGGCTCAGGTCATGATCCCAGGGTCCTGGGATCCAGCCCTGTGTTGGGCTCTCTGCTCAGCGGGAAGCCTGCTTCTCCCTCTCCCACTCCCCCTGCTTGTATTCCTTCTCTTGCTGTGTTTCTGTCAAATACACACACACACACACACACACACACACACACCCTTGAGGGGACATGAAAACTGATGGCTTATCAGCCAGGTAAAGATGCCCAAAGTCCATCATTTCTGCCATATACTGCTGGCTTTGGTTCTAAGGACATTTCAAACCTGATTTAACTAACAAGACTCTGGGGCAAACTGCCACCCTAATCTTCACAGTGGAAACGATGTCCACATCCTAACCCTGGGGACCTGTGAACGTTACCTTTTATGGCACAAATGTTGCAGGTCTAATTAAGGGGAGGATCTTGGGGTGGAAAGGGGCTTTTGGATTCCTGCACCACACGGAACCTCAGGTGACCTCATAAGACGGAAGCAGAGAGAGATTTGAGACACAGGGAAGAGAAGAGGCAGACACTAGACTGTTGCAAAGGGGTTTCCCCTACAGCCTCCGGAGGTAGTGTGGCCCACCACGATTTTGGCCCGGTGAGACTGATTTTGGGTTTTTGGCCTTTGGAACGGGGGAAGAATCCATTTCTAGCCTCACCCGGTTTGTAGGACTCTGTTACAGCAGTTTGCTATGGTGACAATAAGAAACCAACACAGCAGGTGTAATATTCCCTGAAAACCAAACCACAGAGCCTTCAAGGTCATAACGTCAGGGTGGGGGCCCAGAGCTGCTGTTCTGAACCCTCACACTGAGCTGCCTCCCAGCTGACTTACTGGAGGGCGGTCAGAAGACACTGGCTGCATTTGGAGAAGCAGATACCTCCGAGGATAGAACGAAGATGACTCCCAAGGGTCCTAGTTTAGATTTTTCCCGTGTAGGTGAGACCCGAGGGGCTGTCCACAGGAGTGTGAATTTAGGTCACCAGAATAGACCCGAGCACCTCTGCGTGCGTCAATCACATCAAATCCAACTTTTATTTTGCAAAAGTAGGTGGACCAGACCCTAGACTGCTGAACTATGCCAGGGAGTGGGCCCTGCTAATGCTTCCCACAAGGCAGTGAGTCTGGTCTTCCTAGAACGGCCTTCAGTGCCCATTTCATAACAACAGGAGCAGCAACAGCATCCAACAGTAGACTTAGTGTTTACTACGTGGGAAGACCCTTCTCAGGGAGTGTGCTAGGTCTCTTCTTTCAGGCCTCCCATCAACCTTGAGAGGCAGATAATATCATTCCCATTTCACAGATGGGGAAACTGAGGAGAGGCTGGCTGCCATACCGCTTTTCATTGTCTTACTTTTTTCCAATGAAACTTCAGGCTATAGATGTCTTAGTTTTCACAGAACTTCTATCATTTAAAATCTGCTTGAATATGAAAAAAAAAAGTCTGGGACAGAATTTCTGTTTTGTTTTTTAAAAGGGTGCCATTTGAGTTTTGGCGAAGAAAAAAAATAAATATTGTTCCAGTGCAAAAATAAGACAACCAACCAACCCAGACAGACAAAGCACTTTGCCAAGGTCAGAGGCGAGCGCGTGGCGATGTTAGGATTTGCACCCTGGCTGTCGGGTGCCAGGGGCCCGCTCTTAACCTCTCTGCCCTGGCCACACGGGATCCTGGATGTCGTCAGCATCACATGGGAGGAAAAGGCATGGACGTCAGAGTGAAAAACCTGGACTTCCACTGTGTGACCTTGGGCAAGCTACTTGTCTGTTTCCATTTCCTTGGGGAGGCAGGAGAATCCCAGAGCTCATGGGGGACCTGTGAGGGCCAGGTGGGGCCCGGCACGAGGTGGGTGGCTCCCAGCAGAGCAGGTCGCACGTGGTCCGCTGGGGTCGGGTCCAGTATGGGATCCTCACTGTCCCCAGGAATGTTTTGGGAGCCCCAGCTCAGCAGAGCCCCGGGGAGACAGTGTCCTGTAAGTGCAGCAGTGGTGGGGAGCACGGGGAATGAGGGGGGCTAAAGTAGTTTTCCCCATACTCCCTTGCTGCCTCAGTGATCATTCCCTTGTTTCTCAAAAACAGAAGAAATGCATTACTCATAAGAATGAACCGCTTTAAAAACACCTATCCTTTCCATAGGAATTTATGTCTCTCCCTGCAAACTGCTGTCTTCTAAGACTGGGCTGAAATGCCTCCTCCCGGTCACTCTGTAAGAGTCCCTGGTTAGAAGTTGTGATGTCAGGATGAGGTTTGAGAGGACCGTGCTAGGCCCTGTGCCAAACTCTTCCGTCGGTACCACATCCATTTCTGTGGTTCTGAACAACCAGATGTAGTTGGTATCGTCCCTGTTTTAAAGGTGAGATAACCAAGATTCAGAGAGAGGCTTAGCAACTTGCCCAGAGCAGTACAGCCGCCGTGGCAGAGATGGAATTGTGCACGGGTGTGTGGGACTGTGGGCACTGGGCCTGAAGGAGGTGCTTTTTGTCACTTATGCTCAGGGCCAGGTGTTGGCCGTTCCATGTCCCTCTGTGCCACGGAGAGCGCCTGGCCCCTGGTGACACCCAGAACATTCGGTGGCAACCTTCCTCTGTTAGTTGCAGTCATCAGAGAAATGGGAAATGCAAAGAAAGGCAACGTTTGTTTCCTGTCTTACCAGGTAACAAGTTTGGAGCTGATCCAGGAGTGATGCGTGGTGGTTCCATGTATTTGAAACAAGGAAAAATTTAAATGGACCATATTTTATTCCCTGATTACTCGAATCAGACTTTAGAATATAAATAAAAACTGAATGAAATTATCTAGCTTTTCATGTTGGCAAAGAAACGATACTCTGCTTCTCCCTAGTCATGGTTTTGATCTCACGATGTTACAGTTTCGTGGTATGATGAACATCTCCGCTGCTTCTCTTGCATGAGGAGAGTTCAGACATGAACTCGGAGGCTGTCCACTAAGAACCATGCCCAGTGCACTTAGGCCTGTCTGCATCACCCTCCCGGAGAAAGCAAGGACTTAGGGTTTCACACAATAGCTGCTCACTGTCTTCCTTCCTTAAAAAAATAACCAGGTAGGGACACCTGGGTGGCTCAGTTGGTTAAACGACTGATTCTTGATTTCAGCTCAGGTCATGATCTCAGGGTTGTGAGATCGAGCCCCACGTTGGGCTCTGTGCTGGGCATGGAGCCTGCTTAGGATTCTCTCTCCTCTTCTCCCTCTGCCCTTCCCCTCATTTACATGCACTCTCTCTCTCCCTCCCTCTAAAAAAATAATTATAAAAAAAATCAGGTATCCATTACCGTTGCTATTTACTTGTGTTTTCTCACGACCTTTAATTCTTTTTCCCTCTAGTAGTTATTTTACTTTGTTGGGTGTCTCTTCCCATTGGAAACCTTGGGGACACATGCCTGTGTCCTGGGTCGCCATGTTGCCAGCTTGTGGCTCCTACTCAGAATCCCAGCCACGAACACAGGAGATCAGGCACAGCCCCCCCACCCCCACCGGTCCCATTCCTGAGCCCTCCTGAGCAATGCAAGCCAAGAGCTGGGGGCAAGGCCCTGAGTGTCGGCGTCATTTCCCCCCATGCCAGAGCCTACTACCCCAGAGGGGAGGGAGAGCAGCCGGGGACCACCAGCCAAACGGCTTTTCCACTTCCTGGGTGAAGGGCCCTTTCGTCAAATCATCCCCTTCTGACCGGTTCACCAGATGCTCTATGTAAATT